TTATTTTTTTGACTAATATTATTTACAATATACATATTACACTCAGTAAATACCACCTTAAGATTATTGGCACATATTATTTTTAAGGGTGGATAACTTGAGGTAGAAGAATATAATAATTATTAACTATAATGGTATTAATTTAAGATATACATACAAATAGAGAAAATCAATTTCAGTAAAATCTTTTTTGTACACCATATTATTATGTGTGACACAAAAAAGAGAATTCATGACAAAAATAGTAAAATTAAGGTACTCTGTCTTTAAACAGATTAATAACAACAGTTCGGCAATTATCAAATAAATAATAATTGAATTTTATTAGTCAAAATGTAACTAATAATAGGTATAGTTTAAATCAGTAAAATTGAATTCCAACAAAATTGATTTTTTCCAATATGCAGAATACAATTATTCTAGATCCTCCTTTATTATATTCTTTGAATTGTTTATAACAATTAATGAAAAAAAAACTGATATTCACTWAAATATATTTAAGTAGTAAGTGATGGTTTTCTTGAAGAATGTCTCTCCATAATGTTTTGTACATTGGTACATTACTATCACTATGTGGTTATTTTTCTATAATTATAGAAAATATTGATTATGTAAGGATTATAGATTGAATAATTAACACACGGAACATTGTCACTGAACATGAAAAACATAATCAAAGAGATGGGTGGTTGGACGTATTCACTTACTACTTAAGTACATCACCAATCAAATTACTTATTAAGGAGTTAACAAAGTTTAGTTAACTTACATAAAAGGAAACACCAATATTTTCTTCGGCAGAAGCTAGGTTGCTGGTGTACATTATACTATTATACAAATAAAATATTTTATTGTGCTAATGATGGTAAGGCTGTYCCATCATATTGACGACATTGCCATGTAATACGTTCCATTACACATGATGCAGACAATCTAGCTTCAGCATCGTGATCCCAACATTCCTCCATTGTATCACATAGAGCAATTAAACCCTGAAAATAATTTTAACAATGMCATATATTAATAGATTTAATATTTTAAGATAATATTTTAATTATTTCTTACTGGRTGTGATTTCCAGCTATCTTTAAAAGCTGGTCTTAGTTTTTTATGTACTACACATTCTTGCATATCTTCCAATGATGGATGTTGTCCAACTTCTTCTTCAAAAGGTAACTTATAATCTGGTATAGCACCTTGTTGTGCTGTGCATCTAGTTGCCAATTCCCATAATACTAATCCACATGCATACATGTCTATTCTCAAAAACGCATCCCTTGAAAAATTGATCGCTCCTTCTAGTACTTCTGGTGCCATGTATCTTCTTGTGCCAACCTGAATATTTAATGAAGATTAATTTTATTCATTATTGTTGAAAGAAATAATGGGTATTTACCTGCCCATGTGTATCACCACAAGACTTGCCAGGTTGAAAAACCAAAGCAAGACCAAAATCAGCAATACACGCAGTTAAATCATATTTAAGTAAAACATTGTTGCTTTTAAAATCTCTATGTGCAATGGCTGGCTTATACTGATCTGAACGTTCTGATGGAATCTCTTCATGTAAATGCATCAAACCACTGAAACAAAATAGTGRTTACAAAACCTGGAGATGTTAAATAAATTGCACAATATTTTACCTTGTCATAGATTGGGCAATATGACAAAGCTGATCCCAAGTTAATATATTAGATTTTAAGTAGTCACATAATGATCCATATTCATGGTAAGCAGTAATCAACCAATATTCATTTTTGGCACCTTCAATAACACTAGCATGTTTTTCAGCTCCAATGAATGATAGTATATTGTCATGTTGCATGTGTGGTAATTGATAAATGTCTTGTTCAACTAACCATGAGTTTTTATCCTTAAATAAAAACAATAATAAACACTAGTTAAAAAAAAAATACGGATATTAAAATTGTTTGTTACCTGAGGAGGGAATATTTTAACAGCTACTGTATCTTTCTTATGAAGAGCTTTCCAAACAGCACCATAGCGACCCCTTGCCTTTACTTCGACTAATTGTATTGGACGATTGCTAAGTAT